AATAACTCAAAAAGGAATTAAACTAAAATTTTGTAAAAAATTAAAAAGGCATATTTTAAAAATTGCTAAAATTAAAATTAATTATAAATTAAAAATGACTAAAACTAAAAATATTAATAAAAATATACTCTTATTAACAATGTTTAAAAAGACATTTTAAAAATTACTAAAACTCAAAGTAAAATTAAAAAGCAAACAGAAAAAAAATTCAAAATATTAATAAAAACTAACTCTACATTAACAATACTAAAATAGCTATTCATGTAATTGTGGGCAAATGTTGGGATATATGGTTGGAAAGGTGTGTGTAAGAAAAGCAAATGTTTGCTTGAAGTGAATAAAACTTATAGTTGATGTACTAAAACTAAAACTACAGTTTTTGCCTATTGCTTGAACACTTTTTGCAAAACTTCGGCTCATTGTGTCAAAACTTTACACACAAGCACACAAGACACAACACTGGGAAATAAACCATTCACATCTATGTCGAATTGAAACTCTGCTATCAAAACCTAACAATCCTTTGTCAAAATGTCACTCTGATGACAAAATGATACACACTTGCATCATATGAATACACTTTCAGATTAGCAGCAACACACTAGTGTACTTTATATAAAACACTGCAGTCTTTAATTTTCACTGTTTTTATTCAGTTCATCAGGTAGCAGCATTCTGTGAAGCTCAATGCAACACTTACAGTTTTTGTTCGGTTTTTTTCCCAACAAAGGTTTTCACAACAACCAAAAATGAAAGTACTGAAAGGTTACAAGTGACATCAACTCAATACTGCACATCACAGTACTATACTTTACAGTACAGTACAGTAAATGCAGTAATACAAAAATAAAACACAAAATACACTACTGTAAATACAGAAAAACAGGCCAATTGTGCGTGGGTGGGATTACAGATCCTGCCGTCTGTTTGGGTCTGGCCACAGGATCTCATCAACGTCACAAGCGATATTTTCTCCTGCTAAGCAACGGGGAAAATAACGCCTTGTGTGCCGAATCCATCCATGGATTGACGTTACCTCACTGTTTCCGCATGCCTCTTCCATAGCCTGTAGAAGAGGCATGCGGGCATGTGGTTGGCGGTCATATAAGCGCCATCTCCAAGTGGAAAAAAATTATTCGATAGGATTTAGAAATGGCGAGTAAGGGGGCAATCATCTGAAATATTGTTCCGTGCATAGCCTCTTCGACCATGTCCTACTCCTCTCTCTCTTTGTCTTCCTCTTCCTCTGCCTCTACCTCTTGCTCTCCCTGCCTCCATGCTTGCAAAGTTCTCAAAATGGCTCAACTGGGTCAATTTGTGGTTGACTGATTGGTGATCAGTTTTGTAAGTAAGTGTTTTCAGGTGTGTGTCTAAGTGTTTTCAATCACCCAATGTGTTTTGTATTTTGAATAGATGTGTTTTCCCAATGGTACCCATGAGATTTCATTTATGAACGAAGTGTCTTATGTATGAAATAGTGTGTAGTGTGCAGGAGCAAGTGTGTTGCAGAATTGCAACTGAAGTGCAAAGCAGCGCTTTTGTTTAAGGTATGGTTACACTGTGTTTAAGGTATAGTAACAAAATCTTCAAGTTTTGTTACTTTGGTCTAAGCATGTGTCTATAGTGTTCAAGCAATAGGCAAAAACTGTAAGTACTAAAACAAAATAAAAAATTAAACTGAAAATAACTGAACTAAATTTCATTTTAAAAATAAATAGACATATTTTAAAAATTATTAAAACTTAAAAATTAAAAAGAAAACAGGAAACAAAAAAATTAATTCAAAATATTAATAAAAGCTATACTACTATATTAACAATACTAAATTAAAACTAAACTTTTACTAAATAAAAAATGTATAGGTAATACATATGTTTACTTTAGGTAGATAAAATTGTTTTATAACAACATATGCACATCTAATTTTTGTTAAGTTAAAGTTGAAGTACTAGAATAACTAAAAATGAAAATAACTAAACCGAATCTGAAATGAAATTAATTAAAATATAAATGAAAAAACATATTTTTAAATGACTAAAACTTTCAAATTAAAAAGTAAATAGAAAACATCAAAATAAAAACTAATTTCTAATATTAATAAACCTATCTCTTTGTTAATACTAAAATAACTATCCATATTTTTATGCAAAATTTGGAATATATAGTGAGAAAAAATAAGACATGTTTACCTAAAGGCACAATATGTAAGATGTTTTTATTAAAATATCCAAAAACCACTAGAACAGTGTTATATATTTTGCTGACTTGTGTACTTACATTATCCCAAATGTTTCGAAGAATGTTTAAATCCAGAGAAATAAGCAATTTTAACTAGTGACACGGAGCGTGTCCATAGTGTCATTGTGTCGCCTGCCAATGACGTCATACACCCTCGATTTCCGGTTTTGTTTTGTAGAAAACATGGAAACACCAAAGACGCTTTAATATGTTGTGTGTTTTAATAGACCGGTGACGACCGCACAGAGTAGCATTATAACAGAACTTTCAAATGTATCTAGTATGATAAAACAGCGCTGCTTTACCCCACATACACACAACCGGAAGCAGCGGAAGCAGTCGACTGTGGCATAGTAAAAGCTCCGCTGCTTTCCAGTCGTGTGTCATGCTTGTTCAGCGCCTCATTTCGCTTCGACGGCTTTCAGCCTCATCCTGCTTCATTCTACTACGTTAATAAATCATTAGCTCATCCATGAACATGATTTCTGCTCGAGTCCCGTCGGATTGCATCAGCTGTGGGGATGAAAACTCCCATGATTCCAAACTCAGTCAAGGCGTCATCAAACTACGCCTTTGTCTATTTGTTTATTTTGAATACGTGCCCTCCAGCGGCGAAAATTACATATTGTGCCTTTAAGTTTAATTAAAGTTGAAGTGCTAAAATAACCAAAACTAAAACAGACAAAATCTTAAAAACTACAACTGAAAAGAAAATGGGAAACAAAAACTCATGCAAAGTATTAATAAAACCTATAGTACTAGCAACACTAAAATGCTATAATATTTTAATGTATTTTATGCACATTTTGGCATATATAGTTGAATAGACATGATTAAAATGCACATAAGAAATACATACATTCACTTGATGTGGATACATCAATTTATTTATCGATTTATTTGATAAAAAGAAATGTGCATAAAATGCAATGAAAACCCATTTAGCAAATAAATGTATAGATGTGCATTAAAAAAGTCGTGTGAAAGTTTCCCAGAAGTGATGATTCTGTTCTCTTGAGCACATTGGACGGAAACGCTGCTTTACTGACAAACTGTTTTTGTAGAATTTTGCATAAATTTAAATTGCAACTTAGATGGAAACAGCTTTTGTCCTCCCTCACACACACTGTGTCTTGTATGATTTCTGGGGTCTGATCATCTGCTGGCGTGATCTGACAGCATAATCTCATTGAGCCTCATTCACAGTCGTTTCAGAGATTCGTCTCACACACACACTCACGCTCATCTGAACCCCTCCCTCTCTTCCTCGCAGCACACGCCGTGTTTGGTCCAGCTGTGTGTGCAGTTGTTCTCAACATCTGTTCCCTTGGCAACGGCCCCAGCATCCTTCAGCTGTGAGGTCACCGCACCTGCTGCTGGAGAACATGTGGAGCAACGGCTGGGAATACAGCGCATCTCAATGATCGTCAAGCTCACGCTCGGCTCTGAGCCATGGGTGCACTTCCAGTTAGCAGTCCCACAATGCAATGCCATGAGCTCAGATATGGCACCGTTTTCAAGGCATTTCAGACTACTTATATACAGTGGTGGCCAAAATGTTTAGAACATTAGTATTTTCAGTTCTCCACAGTTCTTCTGGATTGAGTCTGTCTCAGTTTGTTCTGTTTCTTCATGTCATTCCAGACAGACTGATGA